CCAAAGCCAAGCCTTTGAGAAAATCAAGTCGCTTCTAGTAAAACCACCGGTGTTACGATATTATGACGTCACTAAAGCAGTAACTTTATCCGTCGACGCTAGCTCCAAAAGCCTGGGTGCAGTTCTTATGCAAGAAGACCAACCTATCGCATACGGTACGAGCGCACTTACACCAACCCAGCAAAATTACCCCCAGATCGAGAAGGAAGCTTTAGCAGTGAAGTACGCATGCAAAAAGTTTCACGAATATGTATACGGGAAGGAACTAACGATCGAAACGGACCACAAACCATTGGAATCCATCTTCCGAAAACCCATACAGAATGCACCACCCAGACTGCAGAGAATAATATTCGACGTTTCGCAGTATGCGCCAAGAGTCATCTACAAGAAAGGCAAAGACATACCGATCGCAGACACGATGAGCCGAGACTGTGAACAGTCGAACATAATTAATCCACCAGAAGAAGATTTTCAAGTATGCGTAGTACTAGCAGCATCAAAAACAGCTACCGAGGAAATTCGACAACATACCAGACAAGACCGGCAGTTACAAGAACTGATCAAGTACGTTCAAGAAGGGTTTCCCGAAAACATTCGTAGCTTGCCACATCACATAAAACCCTATTTTACATTTCGAGATGAAATTTCGTATTACGATGGATTAATATTTAAAAGTGATAAAATAATAATACCAAACGCGTTAATTAAAACAACGTTGGTAAAAATTCACGCGGGACATCTCGGTATAGAAAGTTGTCTAAAACGTGCTCGACAAGTAGTGTTTTGGAACGGACTGAGTCATGACATTCACATTTTTGTAAAAAAATGTGCCGTATGTGAACAAACACAAAGACATAATGACAATTTAACCGTAATAAGTAAACCTACACGAAATCTTCCATGGGAAAGAGTTGGTAGTGATCTGTTCGAATTTAAAGGACACGAATATTTGTTAATAACTGATAATTACTCTGGTTTCTTAGATTTCAGAAAGCTCAAATCTCAGACATCAGAAGAAGTAATTGACCACCTAAAGTAATGGTTTGCAGTCCACGGCATCCCACAATATCTCGAAACGGACAACGGTCCTCAATTTTCAGCAAAGAAATTCAAGGAATTTGTTCGGGAGTGGCACATCGACCATCAAACGTTCAGCCCATATCACCCACGCGGAAATGGATTAGCAGAACGATCAGTCCAAACTGCGAAAAACCTCCTACGCAAATGCAGGTTGGATGGTTCCGACATTAACTTGGCATTATTAAATTTCAGAAATACTACGAGAAATAATCAGTTGGGAGCACCTAATCAAAGACTAATGAGTCGCATTACACGATCAACCTTACCGATAACAGAGGAAATGCTCAAGCCAGCAGTGATAGAAAACGTCAAGTCGAAGTTGCAAGTGTTGAGAGGTGTCCAAGCTAAATACGCTAATCAAAACAAAAAGGAAGAGACCACACCGTTAAAAACAGGCGACACAGTAAGAATTGAGACGTCACACCGAAATTGGATCGCAGGGAAAGTAATCGCGGAAACACAAAATCCAAGATCAGTGGTAGTCAAAACAAACGATGGAAAAGTAATCCGTAGGAACAGCACACACCTGCACAAAACCATAGCCGAGATACCGACTCTACCAAAGGCACCGTACCTACACCGAGTGAGGAAGAAAATCCTAGTACCACCGAAGAGACATCAGAGAACGAAGGAACGAAACCACCACCAGCTAACACTGATAAGGCGAAAACTACTCGAGCCGGACGAACTGTCAAAGCACCACAGAGACTTGACTTATAAGTGCTATTAACACTGCATTTGTTTCATTGTACATCTTGTTACTGTGTTATTTAGTATTTGTAAACGTAAACTTAACTTGCGTTACATGTCATGTCATTGTAGAAATTTAATTTGAATGTTCGACACACATTAAGCCTTATGAAAAGAAAAGGGGATGTAACATACGTGTATGTTTGGTTGCATATTGTAAGCAACCTATGACAACGTCGCATTTGTATACAGGGTGGTGACTTGCGTAACGCATCATAGGAATTTCAAGGTAAAATTCATAACATGCAATTATTGGCTCCCCAAATTATTTTAGAGCAAAAATGTATTAAGGTTTTTTGTAGAAAAAAAATGTTTACGCCATTCAACCGTATTGGTTTTCAATTTTTTGCATAATAAAGACGAAAAATTGGAAAAATAAAACCCCCATCTTTTTCAATAATCTGTGATGCCATGGAATTTTATAACACAAAAACAACTCAATGACAAAAACTACGCCAATATCCGTCATGCCATGGAATGTCTGCTATAAAACAAATCAAATTCTATCAAAACGTATTATATTTAGAACAGCGAAATCAACATAAAGAAAGATCAAATTACTAAAAACGGTTTCCTAATATAACAATTTACAATAAATGTTCGAATAAGTCGCCATTAACTGCAATACAGTAACCAAGGTCGATCATAAAATCCATTTCGAACTGCTGCTAATTGATAACTGGATATCTTTTTGTTTTAGAAAATTCCATGGCATTGCAGATTATTGAAAAAGATGCGGGTTTTATTTTTCCAATTTTCCGTCTTTATTATGCACAAAATTGAAAACTAATACGGTTGATTGACGTAAAAAATTTTTTTTTACAAAAAACCTTAATACATTTTTGCTCTAAAATAATTTAGGGAGCCAATAATCGCATGTTATGAATTTTACATTGAAATCCCTATGATGCGTTACGCAAGTCACCACCCTGTATATACGGCGGCATCGCCACTCGCTTGTATGAAGTCACGCAATAAACATGCTTCCTAAAACTATCGCATTTATTATCACAATTAGCCGTAAATAGCATAAGCGTTACAATATGAAACCCTATGCGAACTGAATATGAGTGAAAACTAGTATAAAGTTAAAAATAGAAACCACATTGACCCTTTAAAAAATCATTACCTAAGTGCGTGAAAATTACTATATGGTCTTTTAAAAAAGGCACTTTAATACATCGCGCTGGTCGTTTGGTGTGTAAAAACTAGCGGAAATGACTCTGTGACAATTCATAGTTGATTTTTCTTGTTTCGCTTAACATAATTAACTATACGTAATATAAGGTGAATTGCATTTAGATGTTCTAATAGTTGCACAATGTAGCTTTACATTAAATTCCACTTTACCTTCCGCTACTTCGTGACAGTGTTGAAAGTGCTACCAGACATAAATAAGAGAACCACATTTGTGCTAGGCGTACATTTCACTTTCTAAGACGAGAACGAAAATTAAACCGCATTAAGATATAGAATAGACCTGGAAATTCGAGAGGCAAATTGAAAGTAAACATGGAGAGCTGAGTACTTAGCTTTTCCCTTGTCGGAAAATAGTACGTAATAATCCTTCAACTCCTCGAATCCTAATTGGGTCGTAGGATTTTCGAAAGGTCTAAGTCCTTTATCTTGTTTGTAAAAACGATGCATTGATTTGCACAAATTACAATAAATCCCATAAGAAATGACAATATTGACTATACTCTGTAGATATTTAATCCCGAATATATGACAAATTTAGATTTTATAGGAAAATCAATTAGGCAAGGGTGCTCTATTTTAATCCAATGTCGATGTTTTATTTGAGTGTTATTCCGTAAAGTTTGACTTTAAATTTGGTACAAATTCACTGCACCTATATCCATGTTTGGAAATTAGTTAATGACATCGCCGAGAACGGCAATTGAAATTATGAATAGCGTGGTTCATTGAAATGTAAAGCAATTTAGTTTCACTATAGCAGCACAGGCCAACGCAGTTTCTATGCTCAATTATCAACCGACCTTTGAATATAAAACCGACAGGAAGGAGCATAGGAACCTACGTCCATACATGGAAAGGGGACGGAAACGGCCATATTGACCTTCCATTTATGACTCATTTTTGATTGACATTTAATAATAGTTATTTGTGTACCAAGGCCGTAAAAGTGATCTTTTTTGGCCGAAGCTGCAATTCAGATGAGGCCTAACAAATCACTTTTGGCCAAGGTGCACACAACATTTTTTAGGCGATCATCAAAAAAGAATTCAAAAATTTGCTCATAAACATATTTTTTCTGAAAATCATAGTTATCTTAGACAATTAAAAACAAAGCATTTCCTGTCATATGTAATTATAATTAGCATCTTTGCGTGTGTTTTGTGCGTATCAAAATGGGTGATAGCGACAGTTCAGATACCCAAAATGAAATTTTGGAAGCTGCAAGCGTTGCGACCCTAAGTCATATATGATATAAGAGCAGGCGTTTGAGAGTAAAAGTACAATCGCAACTACCTCCGCTGCACAAGATTTTAATAATGTCAAATGCAATAGGTCCTTCGTAACTGTGGCTTCCAAGACCTTAGGTATAGTTAACATGCTGTACAATTATTAGAAACCTGATTTCCTACTTTGATGGTAGGTATAGGTAGCTACTTGTGTTTTCGGTTAATTGCTGGTGATTCTTCGTATAATAATGTAAGTAATAACATCTTCCTCATGTTTTGGTGCTACACTTCAAAAAGGTCTGCAAGCAGCAAAGATTGAAACGTCAAACTATAATTTTAAATGTGAACATTGTGATTATGCAAAATAGTGTGAAACATTCCTACAAGTCCGAAAATGAAAAAAACGCACGTGGATGGCCCAATCCTTGATGGTGCGAGACCAGATAGACGCTTTGTATCAAACAGATTACTGTTTCTCACACATCGCAGTTTCATATAAGTAAAGTTTGACAGAAGCGTACAATAAAGTGAAACTTTATGGCCGCAATAGCGACCATAAAATCAACGTTTTTGTGATGATAGCCTAAAAAAGTTAGTTGCGCGATTGTGTATTGTGTGTATTTTTCACGAATTTGAGTTGTTCGAGTGTGTTTTTCGATTAGTTTAACGTGTTGATAGTTAGTGTTATAGTGAACTTTTAAAAAACTATAAATTAATTAATGTAATTATAGTGTAGAAATAGTGATATTATACTGGACTCGAAAAACTCCTAATTATGGTTAGCTGCTCAGCTTGTGGAATTTCTTACAACGCTAAACATCAAAAAGGAAAGCTGACTTTTCATGCGTAAGTATTTCTTTACATTATATGTTTAAAGATAGTCAAAAATTTAGATTTAAAATTAGAAAGAATGAACTGTCACATAAAAAGGTAGGTTAACTGCTGCGCGCGTAGCATTGGCGTCACAAAGGGGTTTTCATGATTACTAACTTTAGCGCATTTTCCAAGCACTATAAATACGAAAGTTACATTGCGCATTTTGTGCATCTAATGTTTACAATATTCGATATACGGACAGAGAAAGTGGCTTCGTTGGAAAATGCACTAAAAATATGTAACTATAAAAGTATAGCTATACTGAATCTAAAGTAAAGAATTTCTCTATGTTCTAACAGATTTCCGAAAAATGTTGGAAGAAGAAATGCTTGGATTAATTGTGTTAGAAATACAAAACCAGAATGGATTCCGAAGAAGAGGAGTGTTCTATGCTCACTTCATTTCACTGAAGAGTGTTTCGATTGTACCTCTCGAGTCAAAGTGAGATTACAACCATCTGCTGTTCCAACCATTGAAGTTGACAGACTTAAATACGTAAGAGAACTTAAATATTATTTTACTGTATGAAAGATTTATTTCCTACAATTTATTCAACAATGTTATGATATCATTGTGATGTTACAGGTGTCGCGATACAATCCACTGAATTTGAAGCCAATAAGTGGAAGCAATTTCGAAACTGTTATGGTTACTACACATGAACCATCTACGCCTGCTGAAATTTCAAAGCACCATTTTTTATTATGTAATGAACCTAGTGCTTCATCTGCAAAAACTCCTCCATCATCGCCCCCCAAAGATACGAATTTAGAAGACACCCCCCGGAAAAGAAGTTTAAAGAGAAAAATTAATGAATTATATAAAGTAAACGATGTAAAGAGTAAAAAACTCAGAAAATTGCAAAAAGCTATGTGGAAAAAGAAAAAATGGATTTCATCTCATAAGATCTTGGCTTCCGAATTAAAAAAAAAAAATTTGATGCTTGAAGAACACAGTAACCTTATGTTAGACCATTTTGGTAACAACAAAGAAATTATTTTTGAAAGCCTTTTCAGAAAAACTAACGAAAAACAAGTAAAACAAAAATATGAACAATCAATTCGTTCATTTGCCATGACCTTACATTTCTTTTCACCTAAAGGGTATAATTATGTACGTCAAAAATTTTACAATTGCCTGCCACATCCAAAAACTTTGTTCAAGTGGTATTTCTCAGTTGATGCGAAGCCAGGTTTCACGACAGAAGCTTTCAACTTTTTGAAACTAAAAGTTGCCAAATCTAATAAAAAAGGAATTGTATGCTCTCTTGTTTTCGATGAAATGTCAATTCGCCAACATGTAGAATTTTGTAATGGTAAATATTTTGGGTATGTTGACTTCGGAAGCCAGTTAGAGGGGGACAATATGGAAATGGCCAAAGAAGCATTAGTTTTTATGATAGTTTGCATCAATGAACCCTGGAAATTACCCATTGGGTATTTTTTCCTTTCAGCTATTAACAGCAATCAAAAAGCCACTTTAACAAAACAAGCATTAACTTTATTGAATGATACAGGGATTAAAATCATGAATATGACATTTGATGGTGCTGCAACTAATTTTGGCATGTGTTCGGTATTAAAATGTCCCTTCAAAGAAGATAATATCAGATCAGTGTTTATTCATGATGATAGAAAATACTTCCTTATGCCAGATCCGGTTCATATGATTAAATTGATAAGAAATTGTTTTACAGAAAAAATGGGATTCATAGATTTGAATGGAAATCAAATAAATTTTGAGTACGTTATTAAATTAAATGAAATGCAGGAAAAGGAAGGTTTACACTTAGGAAACAAACTGAGGAAACAACACATTAACTTTGTCAAACAAAAAATGAAAGTGAAATTAGCCAGACAGTTGTTAAGTAGGTCAGTAGCAGACGCTTTATTTTACTGTAGAGATAAATTACAAATGGCAGAATTCAACAATTGTGGTCCAACTGCCGAGTTCATTCTACTAATGAAGTCGGGTACCTATAAGCAGGCAACATGCCCTACCAATATTGAAGAAATTCGTAGGTTTTATACAAAACTTTGCAAGTAGGTACATAGTCAACTTAAAAATGAAAGACAATATGTTTGTTACAAGATCACAAAGAAGAACTGGATTCGCTGGGATGTTGATGGGGTTTTCTGCATTGTTAGGAATGTATGAAGAATATATTGCCACACAGATTTTACATTTCCTTCCAACATATAAGTTGAATCAAGATCACCTCAAACTCTTTTTTGGAAGTGTTAGATCACAGGGTGGATATAATAACAATCCAACTTGTAGACAGTTCACGGCCGCTTACAAAAAAATTTTGATACACGCTGAAGTGAGAGATGGTGGAGCAGGAAATTGTATACCACTTCACGACATAAATATTTTGAATATTAGTTCGTCTTACAAGAGTCCAGAACAAATTATAAATGAAAGTCTTCCAAGCATAATAGAAACTAGTGAAGATGATACTGATGATTTTATTTCCAAGTTTCTCACAGACCATGATTATGTGTTTAACTTACTTACTTGTCTCCCTATGTTTTGGAAGTTGTTAAATACATTGCTGGTTTTGTTAGCTTCAATCTTGGACATAAGCTCAAATGTGAAAATTGCATTCCTTATTTATATGGACAGGAAGAAAATTTCTTAAATTCATTGATATACCAAAAAAGTAGAGGACGCCTGTCATATCCAAGCAGTGACGTATTAAAAATTTGTTTACAATGCGAAAAGCTTATAAGAAGACAACAAATTGTAAGAAAATCTGTAATCGATAAAAATTGTATATCATTACAAGTGTTGAAATTTTTTTTGGGAAGCAGTATTTTGGATAATATGATAAATCATGATAGTTCACCAATTGAAAGTCACAGAATATTGTTAATGAAAAGTATCATAAATGTATATTTAAATGTAAGGATTAATTTTATTTGTAAACAACAAACTGCATTAGGTAATGATAAAGTTAGGAATTTATTGACTAAACTCATTCTATTTAAAGGTCAGTGAATGCTTTCTTATTTTGTTCCTCGTTGTTTCCTTGAATATTTAAGAAGACTGACATTATGTTAAATTTAAATTGTATGAGCGTCTTGTATCATTTGTGCTCTTGTTTTTTTTTAATCAATAAAGATGATAGCAAACCTACTTTAAGATTTTTGACGATTTCTCATATACACGGGGAAAATTTTTGTTGGACAACTTCAGATTCGTGTTCAGCACACCAACAAACATACAGTAACCCACTATAAATAATTACACTAGAACTTTCCACTTATACTTTTTGTGCACCATTTGACTATAAACTAAATAGGCACGCCACTGGAAAGCGGAAATTCACGACCGCCATATTCACCTTCCATTCTGATCCCCTTTTTTACATTTCTATGCTCCTTCCTGTCGGTTTTATATTCAAAGCAACCGACTTAGTCTGTCAAAATAAAACTCAAGGTAGGGGGAGCCGGCGCTGATATACGAGTATTCATTTTCACAAACGGAATTTTTTGTATCCTGTCATTTATCTACTACCACTTCACACCACTGGCGGCGTGCCAGATACTTACGTACAGCATCAAAATTTACCGCCGAGTACTTAATTGAAATTATATGGCATATTAGGTATTAGATAATAACAAATTCACAGATATCGCAATCGTAAAGACATAAATAACCCTCATTCCACGGAATAATCTTGCTCCCACTCGATCGCAAGCTCGCTCCTGTCGCAAACGTAGACTTTCTGAATAATACGCGGCGTATGCTTGTAATTCTATCACGGGAGATGTGCGAGAATTTTAAATTTGAATTAACAAAACCCCTGCGGACTGTTAAGTAAGTACCGTATCGACAGTATCCGCGACTTTTCCTGAATCTACCGATTGCAGTCGAGTACGGGGCAATCAACACTAGACGCGACACCACTGTCTTTTTTTCTACTCGGCAAACCTGGTAAATTCATACGCATACAAAACAAGTATTTCCAATGCTAATAATAATTTTTTTTGACCGGTTGACCGGTAACCAAATATCCCATTTACGAAATTATTTTTTCCTCGGGAAAAAATGTAGGAGGTACCTTTTTTCCCAGCTGTACCTACTCCCGTATAGTAAAGATAGATATTTAATTTTAGAGTACACTTCCAAAAGTTACAATGATAATAATATTTATTAGTATTTTAGTGCGGTTCATCAGTTCTTGTGAAAGCGCTAAAACAAACGAAAGATTTACAATAGCAAAATACGTTTTAAAGTAAGGTCATCGCCACTATCGAGGAGCCTGTTGGCTTTAAATAATTAAATAATAGTATATTGTGCAATAAGTGCGAGAAGTGACATTTTGTACACGAGCGTGGAGAACCACGAAAGTGTACAAAATCCTTCACGCACTATACTTTATCTACCACCATACATATAACAACGTAACTTTTTATGGAACTAACATTTTAATCACAGACAAGTTAAACATTGGTTAATTTTCTATGTTATAATTATAATAATTATTAATAGTAATAGTGCAATTTATCGGGTTGTTAATTTCTACCTTTGCTGAATCGCTTAATGAACGTAATGAGATCCACTGAAGGCAATATTATAATAGCACTAGGGCTGAATTTACATAAACTGTTTGCCTGTGCCTGTATTTTGTAGCGTCTTTGCTATCTTGTATTAGATACGCACGTATATGGCGTAAGGCAACATGTTAACTCCACAATTGCGGAAATAAAGTGATTGTGACTCAATCAATAGTGGAATGTTTATTAATAACGATGCTGTTGGTAGTGTTGATTTTGAGCTGCTAAACCGAAAAGGTATAAGAAGTGAGGATTCATAAAATATCTTAGCTTCGACCACTAGCAAGTATGTCCACACATCTGCGGTTTAATGTCGAACGCGTTGGTCGATCCAACGTCACATATAAGCATGGTAAATAATATTCACCGTGCAGATAAGTCATAAATGCTCTCTCTGCTACAGAAACGAGAATTTCAACCCTCGTTTATAAATGTAAAGGACGTATCTCACATAAATTATTTGTGATAGTTATTTCCTCGATCCTCTCCAATCCAATTTCTTTATGAAACCTTTATGTCAGCTCGAAAGAGGAACCTTTTATATCACTACTTTCACACATTCATAAATTGTTCTAAAAGCTTCGACCAAGTCAGTTACATATTACGCTAAGTGGAAAACAGTGTAACTATTTCACTCACTCTCATCGCGCCCAGTTTGTTTATTAACACGCATGACAGAAGCATAAAATACGACTCTATGGATTTAAGAGAAATAGAAAAATTTGTCAATGAATTTTCAGTTACGAGTATACAGTGTGTCCCGGGATCGGAATCAAGTGTTCTATGACCGGCAATCTTTCCTGGCGAGAGGTTTAAATATGTTTCTTGAGTATCTAGAATTCTGATTGCAACAATTACAAATCGAGATAGTGGGTTCATTACAGATTCCTGTATAATAATTAACAGAGGTAAAAAATTGACATTATTCATTTTTCTCGATAGAAGCTGTTTACGCGAAAAGTAGCATGTAGAGTGGGATTTGACGACACGTTACAAATTAAATAAAATGTCACTACACTATTTTTCTACTGTAAATACATATTTCAGATTGACAGAAATTCATAAAATTTGGATCGTTGTTTACTTACGCACGGTGCAGGTAATGTAATTTCGACAATCAGCGCGCAGTCGAATTATAACATTTACTCATGATACAAAGGTAAACACACAAACATTCACACATTCGAAACAACACCTGAACGATGCACAGAATTAAACTGCAATACTTTTAATAGTTTCTTTTCTGAAATAGTCGACCATTCTTTACGCAATCTCGAACCGAGTAACAAAAATCCGTCAGACTATGTGCAATTAGGTAACCTGTCATTCTCTTTTAAAGAGGTTAATTATAAACCAAATTGTATACCAAAAGCTTAATAAAACAAGTAAAAACAGTTTTGTATG